TATATATATATATATATTAAATATGTATATGCATTTATTTTATTGCCATGTGACAGTTGTTTTAAAACACTTACAGACTAATGATTTCAGGACAGTGGTGGAGCGCCAGGGCCCAGTCGCAGCTCAACCACTACAACCTGGTTAGTTCTCGTGGAAATGCCAAGTATCGGCACTGGCATCTGAACTGGTATCTGTGCATCCCTAACTGCTTTTGGTGTGAACGTTTGGTTTGATCCTAAAATACTTTTTTAAAAGAGGAGACCAGTAAATGTTTCTCTCACGACAGATTCCCTTGAACTAGTGGATTAACCCAATCTAACAGAAAGCAAAGAAGGTATGGTGGGGCTGTCTGATAATACACACTGCAGTCAAATTATATTTGTAAAATAATCAACAGGTCTTCAGATGATTGTCCTTATGCTTTTCCCTGAAGCCTTTACAGAGCTTGACATCATATTATAGACATTCTCTGGATTAGAATTTCAATCTTTGGTGAAATATTTTTTAGCAAGGTCCCTGCAAAGGGATGCTGGTGTGTACTTTTCTTATTACAACACTGAGACCTGCCATTTGGTTACAGTAACAGCAGACACTTCCACTTAGCAGTCAGAGAAAGAGCGATGGTAAGGTCCATCTTAGTTTATACAGGACAGGGTGAAGTTCATACAGGGAAGATTTATTTATTTAATCAAAAATAGAGTTCTACATGTGTAAATGTGCCTTTGCACTACTGTGTTTGAAAAATTGTATCTAAAGGATGTCTTGCATGTAGTAAAAGGGGTCTAAGCACTATTTGTACGGAAGTGCCCTCTGCTGTCAACACTTGCAACTGACTGTACATAAATATCAATCTTCCGCAATAAATGGCAAGCTCACCTTTCTTCATCACTAACATGGAACTCAACACTACAGCGGAGCTCTTGGCATAATGACCTGGGGTCGAGGATTGATGTCTACAAATAAATGAAGACATTTGTTTTGGATAGAAAATAATCTCTTCTTTGTGCCTAGCGTGACCTAATGCCTAAGCTTTATTAGCTTTCATGAATTCCTCAGGTAGACACGTACTAAAGTCTGCCAGAGAATATTTAATCCTCCTGCTATATATAAATAAATTAATTTGCTGTAATTTCACTGAACAGCGGCAATGCATGAACATTTCTGATATGAAGAAAGATTTTATTATTCAGGTTATTTAGCGCACTCGCTGAACTGAAAACTGATACAAGAGAAAGTTATTGTCTTTGTGGTCACACAAGAGCAAGTCTGCACAAAAGTTCTGTCAAATCTGACAAAAGTTTCTTATGTCAAGTTTCATTGGCAGAATTGCTCCACTTTTACAGTATGTGGTAATAATTAAAATTCAGATAAGGCCAGTTGTAAAGAATTGAGCTGTGCAATTTCTGTGCAATTTTCTGTATTTCTTTATCGGTTTTATACATCCTGTACATTTGGTTTGTTTTAATTGCTTTTAGGTGATTGGATGATCTTCATGTTTGTATGAGGTTTACGGCAGTCGTAACTTTTTAACCACTTTTAACCACTTCTGCTGCTAGCCGAAGCTGGCCCTTTAAGTGGATCTTATTGCCGGAGTCTGGTGGAAGGGGCTCCAATCATGTGATCACTGTGATTGGCTGAGACAGTGGTCACTTGATCAGGATCCTATCCGAGGGGCTCCCGATCGTAAACAGCAACCAGGAGCTGTTAATAAAAGCTCAGCTCTGTGCTGGGAGCACCAAGTTAGCTGTTAGCACAGAACAGTGCCACCGACTGTGCACATACAGTATACGTGGCAGCCCGACATTAAAGCCCACAGCTGTGCTACAACATATAAAGACCTCAGGCATCCCGGATTCCCAGCTATTCAACTGTCCTTTACCTCTTTTAGCAGGGGTGCAGTAATGAAGCAATGAGCCTGACAGGTGGTCATGTGACAACCCACTCGACTTCCTGATTAGATGAGAAGCCTGGGACTCTACAGCCACGCTCCCTCGCAGCTTCCCAGGCATTAAGGACTATGGCTGTCATGTGAGGAATGTAAGTAGCAATTGATGCTGCTCTCTGTATTGCTGAGCCTGTTACAGAAATCTCTTTGCGATATCTTCACCGGCTCAGTAGCTAAAAACATGTCACCCACTGTTGCGGTTTTGGTATTGCGCTCAGTGTGATTAGGGTGTGCACACACCCTGCACACGCCTATGTTCATACAGCTAAGGGGGAAGGGGTTAACAACACAGTTAAAGGAGAACTATGAGGGGAGTGATTTCCCCTCATCCTCATAGTTAGAGCTGACCTGTGACAAAGAAGTTGTCACAGGTCGGCTCTATAGATCGGGAAGTGAGCAGAAACATGCAGCTGATCCACTCACTTCCCAATCTTCTCCCTGCAGTGAGCAGTGACTGTCAGTCACCGCTCCACACAGGGATTCCCCCTCCCTGTTCGATCCTCCAGTGCTGAGTGGAGAAATGAACGGGGAGGGGGCGGGCACAGCTGGCTCTGACTCTAGATAGGCATTGCCAACTGTCACTCACGCAGCTAAGTGGATCTCGACAGTATTGTCGGGATCCATCCCAGCTGAGGTGCTCTCAGTATATGGCAGGCAGTAGCCCGCAATATACTGAGCTTTGGTTTACGGGAGGAGGTTAGTATATGTCCTCCTGTGACCCTAAAGAGAACTATGGGAAACACACTTACCCCATAATTCTCTTTTAAATAGTCTCCATGATACTTTTCTTATTTGTACTAACAATACATTTTTAGGACAAGCTATTGGGGGTCTACCCCCTTTCTAGTGATACACAAATGTTTAGCAAATCTGCAAAAACAACCGTCTCTGAAAAAAATACACACAGGCAGGTCTATTCACTAAAGGGTGAAGAGTTTGGAGAAGGCAGGAGAAGCGAACTATCTAGGACAAAATAGCCAATTTGGAGAAATTCTCCAATTCAGCTCACTTACCAGTTCAGCTATGTTGTCCTAGATTGTTCACTTCTCCTGCCGTCTCCAAACTCTTCACCCTTTTGTGAATAGACCCAAGGGTAATAAAAGTAAAGTAGAGGAAGTTAGGCTAGTCATACATGTTAAGATTTCTCACGGGACTGAATGAGAGAAATCAATAGTTTCCTCCATCCATGCTAAACAGCAGCTGTCAGAATACACAAACAATGAGTGCATCTGATTGGCTGTAGTCACTGTTTGGCTGAGAATTTTCTACTCAGTTCCTTTGATCTTCAGTTAAAATTTGTCTAGCTGGGAGGCGCCAACAGGGCCAACCATGGATTGAATTTCAGCCAATTCAACAGAAATCGTCCGAAATTTAAACCATGTATAATAAGATATGAGATAAGAGCTGTCAATCAAGAGGCCATCTCCTTTGCAGATTGTAGTCAGGAATGAAGAGGACTTTGCTACCTCATCTAAATTTTAGACTAAATAGCTAATCTTCTGCATAGATAAATATTCTATAGTTGCGTAGTAAGGACTTTTAGATGTAAATATTTGGTTGCTGGGAGAAGTCACGTTTTAAATCTGCACATTCTTTCATCATCACATCCTACTGAGCTACTGAGAGTTTCACTAGCTGCATTTCTTAGATTCTTGGTTTTGTTTTACTAATATCTAGAATAATATCCTGTGGTTTTATTTTCATAGTGTCATATTTGCTAATCAATTGCATCACATATTTTGAACGTTATTATTTATTGTCACCAATAATATTCTTGATTATTATTTTGCACTGATTTTATAGTTAATAAATATATTTTTGCACGATATTGCTGTTTATTTTGTCTTTAAGTTAGCACATAAAAATAACTCAGGTAATCAGTTTTATTAAGAGGATTAGTATGGAATCTCGTTAATTACAAATCCTTCATTACAGATCCCTACCTGTTTTCATAAATAAAATACAGTTTTTTCCATCAGAGCAAAAGTTCTGAAAGCTGCTTCATGACAACCAAATGAAGCCACCAGTGAGGATTCAACAAATAGACAACTAGGTAGCTTGTGTATTCTTTATAGTTATTCATTGTAGTGTCATACTCTGCAAGGCCCGTGGAACTTGATGGGAGCTTTGTAGCAGAGTGTTTTTGAACTCTTACCTGTGACAAGGCTTTGTGGGGGCAAAAATGCTGCACATAATATATCATCATGGTGTTGTACTCCTCCTTTCCATTCTGAAGGCTGAACAAGATATTGTGATAGAGAGTTCAGGCGGAAAACTGTGATCATCCTCAAAAGAAACATATGATAAAAAATATTATTATTAATCCACATGATGATGTATGCAGCATATTGTACTGGCTTGCAAGACAGCATAAAGTGATGTGACTATTTACAAGGACAACCACACATGGCAGCTGTAGTCACATCAGTAAGAAGTATCATTTTGATTGATTGCTATTAGCTACTACATAGTTACTACACACTGTACTTCTTAATTGAATAACACCTTGGGGTCTATTCACAAAGCTGCCAAAGGATCTGGCCATAGCTTCGGCCTATCCTTCGGCTTGCTTCGGCCCCAGAACTTCACTACGGGCTTCACAATAGCCCATACAGCTCCCGATCATGGCCGAGCGGCTCAGCCGAGCCGAACGCATATGCACCGGCTCAGCTGAGCCGTGCTGAAAGCCGAAGCTGGCCGAGCGGCCGGCCATTGGCCGGCCGCTCTGCCTGCTTCTGACAGCTGGGCGGAAACGGCTGAAATTAGCTGTACCAGCCTGAAGTGCATAGCCGAACAGTGTTCGGCTCACTTCACTTCAGATCGGTCATTCACTCGGCTGCCCTCGGCAGCTTCGTGAATAGACCCCCTTGTGTTCAAGTGATATGTTGTATGAACTGGAAGCCACTGAACACATACATTTTAAAATACCTGAGTCTCAAAGAATTGTGGGACATGTAGTTTCAAGATACTGCATGGGCAGCAAGCAGCAACTTCCTCCAAGTGCCCTGAACTTGCAAACTTCACTGGAGAGAAAAAATTATGCCACATATATTTGAAAGAGCTATATACAGCTGCTAGAAGCAAAAAGTGACAAAATATTGATGTCACTGGTTGCCAGGAGCTTGGCAGGATGCCAGCCAGAGAGTCCCAGGTTTCTAAAAGCCCTCACACATCTCCCCATCGGGCTCTTAGCATCGGGGAATGCTCTTACTAGTGTCTTACCCAGCTCCTGGCAATCAGTGACGTCAATAGCTGCCAAGAGCTTGTCGGGATGCCAGCGGCACAATTTTTTGTAGATAAGTTTCTGCACTCCTGCTACACTCCCAGTAATATGGACGAGGGATCGACCGATTATCAGATCTACCGATAATAGGGGCCGATATTCCCAAATTTTTAAATTATCAGTAACGGTTAAATGTACTGATATTACCGATAATAAACATTGTGCAAATTTCACACAGTGAAATTCATACAGTGGGGGCCACTGTCTGGCTGGCATCCCTCAATCAGCTGATCAAACTAGCCGGTCAGAAAATCTATGTGGGAACAGAGTTGGCAGCCAGCTGACGGCCGCTGTCAGGATACACAATAAAATAGCAGATAGCAGAGGAAGCAATAGCTATCCTGCTATTTTAAATTTCAATAGTCAATAGCAGGCTGCCTATTGTACTTGCTCCATGCCTGCTGTCAAGCAGCAGAGTAGCGGTCCTGACAGAGAACTTTCTCCAGCTGGCTATTGCAATTTGAAATAGCCAATAGCAGGCTGGCTACTGCCTGTTGTTTACATTCAGCTGCCGGCTGTGGAAGCCTACCGCCAGCAGTTAATTGGTTAAACCCAGATTTTTTTTTTCACCATTCCTTTGTACTGGTTTTTCGAAATAGCAAACCAGTTAATTCATAGATAAGATAAAGCATATAGTTCAGGATAACCTTTACGGTATTTACATAGTACATTTTCATAGGTATCTGTACATTGGACCAAAAGGAAGGACAACTGAGGAGGAAAGAGGGACAGAAGAGGGATTTGGTTCCAAATTAGGGTCTCTCCAAATGAGGGACTGATGGCAGGTATGCAACCTTACATTACTTTGAAGCAGTCTATGTTCCTGACCACATGAGTGTGAACAGAACGGGGTTGCTTTACAAAAGGAGAAGAGAATGTTTGCTCAACAAAGTGCATGATCACCTATCAGAGGGACTTGAGTGAAGCTGTGTACACTTTGAATACCTAGTTACAAGCAGGGAAACTAAAATAAATGGTATATGCCCTGCACATGACTGGATGATTAAAGTATACACAACTTGATTTTATTCACTAAACTAAGTGGACATTCACTTTGTTGGATTTACATTTTCTATTTTTTTAGTAATTTAATCTCCTTCAATGGTCACCCCATCCAATGCACTAATTTTGCATGCAGCACAAATACAGCCAGAAGAGGTAGGGATGCACTGTACAATTTTGCCACTAATTTGCAAGCAGGTTTAATCTATACTCTGCAAAATTACTATAGAAAAAAAGCTTTATCCCTTCACAGCTCAAAGGAGAATGCTGCTGAAACAAAATTTTCACATTTCCTGCACACACTTTTGTAGGTAGGTTAGAGACATCTGCCACTATTGAACCTGTTGTTGATAGGCTTGCACAGATACCAGTTCAGATACTTGGCATTTTCACGAGAACTACCAGGGTTGCAGCGGTTGCAGCTGGGACTTAGCTCCACCACTGTCCTGAAATCGTTAGTCTGTATTGTTTTAGAAAAACTGTCACATGACACTAAACAAAAATGTACAGTATCAGTAATTGGTATTGGTACTTGTACTTGGCCTGGAAAAAATGGTATTGGTGCATCCTTAATAAATAATTGGATAGGGGCTGGATTCCCCTCTCCCCGCTCCGATCTGCCAGCGCTGACTGGCGGAACGGACGGGGGAGGGGGCGGGTACAGCTGGGCGAATCCCGTCGTCTAAGTCGGGATCCGCTCCGGCTGCGGCGTCTCAGTATACCGCGAGCTGTAGCTCGCGGTATACTGAGCTTAGGGTAACGGGAGGACGCTAGTTTGTGTCCTCCCGTTACCCTAAGGAGAACTATGGGGAAAAACACTGACCCCATAGTTCTCCTTTAAAACAGGGATGCACTAATCTCAGGAGGCCCGTATGCTCCTTAAAAATGACAGCTGCCTCCTAACTTTTTTCTCTAGTCTAGTAGCTGGAAAAGCATCTGTACTTGGGGCCGGTTCACACCACAAAGTCTACGTACAAGAGTGTTCGGCCTCTGGAACGCACTGAAACGCAAGCCGGTCGGCTCCCTGCGTTCAGGGGCGGGAAGGGGCGTGGCGGTGCATTGAAGTCACGCCCCCTGCCCGCAGTCCAACCGCCCGCTCGTGTTCAATTGCACAGGCGAAATCACGGCGGGAAACCGTGCGACCCGCCTGGCGTGCCATTAGAAAATAATCGCACCCACAGCACGATCGGCTGTGGTGGGCGACTCCGTGACCGCGGGGCCGCCCGCACGCTTATGTGCACGTTTGCCGCATGGTCAGGAGTCGCACAGGTGGGATCGTAACCTCAAAGGCGAGAGAAAACAGGGCATGCCCTTTTCTTCTCAACCATCTTTTTACTCTCCCAACTTCATCCCTCTCTCCCTCCTGCCCTGTTATATATTTTACACAGGGAATTGATAAAATTCTACTTCCTTCTGAATGTTTCTATTGATCCAATAAGGACATTGATTAATGTAGACTGTTGTAGTCTTAGATGTTGTGGAAATTACCACCTCCGTTACATCTGTCTTACAAACTGTGATACTTTGTAACCACAATGTCATTATAGTAGTGTTCTGTAATTTTTCATAATATATAAATAAAACAGTGTATTAAAGAAATGATCACGGCGTGATATCTACAAAAGACAGAAAGTTTTAGGTCTAATGATATTTATCTTGTTAATTAATAGATTTTGCAGCATCATCTAGAAAGCCCCTAGTCGTTATGGTACTTACCTCTCCCATCCAACGACTAGTATTGTTCTCTTTAGTACCAATATCTGAGAAATTTCTGCTGCCTGGTCTCTTCCAGCATTTAACTTATGGTGACAATGACCATTGAAATCCCATATCTTGAAAAAAACACAACCAGCTCTTTTTTAATTTACAATATAATCAACAATTAAAATAATTGTACTTTAAAGCAAGTGCAATATTCCGATGGAAAGTGCATATTAACAATACATTATGCTTGAGCTTTCATAGCTGTATCAATACATTATTGCAGCATCCGTATATAGTAAGAAAAGAGATGGACAATAATATTGATCAGAATGGACAGATGAATGATATACTGAACAGATAGAGAGGCGGAATATACAAGATGAAAAATCAAAGTAGCAAACATCGTACAACATTCTGACTGTCCAAAAGTTGTAAAAGGTAGTTTGATGCAATACAAATCTTTATCAATCCAATGGCAAGCATATAAAGAAGAGGCCTGATTATATGCTGAATTTATTGGAGGGTAATTTGGCTGCCATGTGGGGTTGGTACAGTAAAAGAGATCTGCATTCTAGTCCTAGTGAGACCGCAAGGAGGTATAGCTAAAAGACTTGTAAAAAATGAGTGAGACTCACATCCGTACCTGGGAACTCTCTGGCTTTGGCCCAGAGACTCTGGCTAATCAGCCTAGTTTTCTGCCCCCTCAAGCTCTGCCACCGATAAGCTAATGGTAGTTAGGGAAGAGGAATGGTTTCTCTCCCACTACGGGTTTGCGTCAAAAACTAAAATTATTTCTAAGGTCTGTTTGCTACATAAGTAATTTTTTATATTGCTAACATTTTACGCTGATGTAATGAATAACATTACCAAGAAGCTTTATCCTCCGGACCTGTCAGAAGTATCCCAGGGGTACAGGTATTACTGACTGACAGTCTGTGTGCTAGACCATGGCAAAGGCCATGGCAACATGCATGCTAATGGCACGCATATGGGAAAAACAAAATGAAAGGATAGATAGATAGATAGATAGATAGATAGATAGATAGATTTTATTAATTTAGGACAGATCTACAAAAATCACATTTAAAAAAAAATGCAACATTGTTCTTTTAAAAAATTCCAGCTGGAGAAAAATGTCATCTTTTTCTTGTTGCATAAAATGTGATTTACGTTGCCACTGCTCATGCTGAGAAACCTTTTATTATATTGGCGTGTCTTGGTGTGGCTATTATTCAAAGATATATGTTCCTTGTGAGCTTTTTACGTGTAAAGATTTTTCCTAGAAAGGCATCAAGGAAACAGATTTTAGTGGTTATTTACTTGTACACACCAACTTTGCAAAATGTGGCACCAAGACTTCCATAACAATTGAACTGCAGGGTGCCCAGGTTGACTGTATTCCACTTATAGTATATCCCACTAGTCCCATTGGAGGAGAGGCTTATTTTCATTTTTAGGAAGGAATAGGAGGAATAGCTGTGTTTGTGGGGATATATACAGATCTTTTTCTAATATAAATATATTGATAATAAAAGTAATATATAAATGTATTAAAATATGTTTGTAGGCTATGTAGACATACCAATATTGAAAATATGGTTTAAAAATGAGCTTATAAAATAAAATAACTCATAGGTACCTGAAAAATATTTTTCTAACTGATACTAGAAAAAAAGTGACAGCTGCTGGTGGATTTGCTGGTACAAGATATGACTCCACTTTTCTTTGTGTTAGTGTATTTATGAGCCCTATTGTAAAGGTTTGGTTAAAAGATCAGTTGAAAGGTTAAAAATTAAAATATTTATTGAGCTGCACAATTAGTACATTTAGTTTTCTTTTTAAAATATGTGTTGTTTGTTTTAAATAGACTGGTGAAGGACTGGCACCCCTGGCAGTTTTTTTAACTGCTGTCTGTCCTAAAGGGGAGATTTCCTTACTCTGTCTTCATTATCTGTAATGATGACACCAGCATATGGGTGGGCAATAGTTTCAGTGGGCCACAGTGGACCATACCAACATAAAAACCTGTCAAAATTGCTGCTCCTGTCCCCATTGGATGTTCCTTACAAAAAGATCACTCTAGAGAGGCAGAACCAGTTTTCACTTAGGCAGCCGGGGTGGTTCTCCACAATATTAATGGTATACTTCCTGGCTGTGGCGTGGCTCTGCGCGGTCAGCAGGCAGCAAGCATTATACCACTATAAGCTGACTTTGGGTCACAGGTGTAAATTAGTAAATATGCTCCTATGACCCAAAAGAGAAGTAAAGCTTTGGATAAAAGGTTTTAGCTACTACACAGAAGAATCAACACTGCACAGATTTGTCTTCATAACATAGAAACGAGTTAGGGTTAATTTACAGGTGTAGAGACTGTCCAGTTAGTAAAGTGAATGTTCACCTTGAAAAGTATACATTCACTTTGCAAAGTGAATGATAAGAAATAAGTTGAACCTGTTCACTTTTAATAACCAGTCATGTGCAAGAGAAAATAGAAAAACAGGATTTTTGCAAGCAGGTGATTGGCTAATTTCAAGAACACAGCCTCATCTTATTTCATAAGTTCACTGGGTGTACTGTCTTCATTTCCTATAGTTACTCAGACAATTTTGAGAAAACAGTGGGATATTTTTTTTTTTATGGAGTAGAGAATGTTCTTTTAGAAAGGTTAGTGTTCACGTCAATCATCTAATCCTGCTCTCTTTTTTTAACACCCATGCACATAATTGGGTATTGGAAGCAAATACGACTTCACTTTATTCACTTAGGTATGTGAACATTTTCAACTCCTTTAGTAAATAAACCCTGTTGCGTGTTAGCACTTAACATTTCTTGTTAGCAATGTTCAGGCTGGTTGGGATCTCATTACAGTGTACTGAACTGTACAGAGGACTCTCCAGTTTCGCAGACGCCTGCCAAATAAAACAAAATAAGCCTGAAGAGACCTAATATATGATAAGAACACTAGCTGCTGTCACATGCTGGACAACATCATTTTTTATTTTTTTTTAGTTTGAATGTGGCTTAAACTGAACTGGTCCTCTTCCATGTGCAAGATGAAACTACCTTAGTACTGACAGCTGTATGCTGTACAGCTAGACCTCCATAAGACGTTTGTCCCTATAATGGACACAGAACTGAAAATTCAGACTACATAATGTAAAGAGACGACATGAAATGATTGTTTTTGGGTTTTTTTCTGAAGCCATCTAGACTTAAGTCCTGCATTAGACACCCATTAGTTATCGCCCAGTCCAGACAGTTACTTGTCTTGTAAAACAGTTGAAAGTCTTTGAGTGCTTTGCAGGCTTTGTAGACAACCTCTGACCAACCTTTGTTTGAAAATTAAATTATCTGAGTTTTTTTGAAGCAAGTTACTATAATTCCTCCAGGATAAGGATGGTGCTAATCAGCATCTTATGCCTATGAGTAGACTAAAGCTGGTTATACACTATTCTTTTTTTCTATGCTAGTTTCTCATGGATGGGGATTCCCCCTGCTGAGCTGTTGTATTCTGGCAATGGTGGGTATGCCACTGTCAGAATATCCAAACAGTGGCTGCACCTGATTGTCTGGGGCTAAACTTTAATTTTAAAATGTATCTTTAGGCAAAACCTTTTGTTAGGTTTTGGATAGAGTGGGGGAAGGTTAGACTCTCTTTCAAGTTTGTATTGCTCCCCTTGTCCCTATTGAGGAGATCAACCCCTCTGATCATTGTCACCTAAACAGAAAGGGAAGGTAAACCCAAACATTTAGAGTTGGTCACAAAAACAAGAGGTAAAGGGAAAATTGTCTAATGGGGACACTTGTTCCGGGAAAAACTGTCTAAGAAGGGAATGCGTCTCTGAGGCAGGAAGTGAAGGAAAATTTACCCAGTGGTACACACACAGCAGAAAAAAAAACTGGCAGGGGGTTTTACCTTTCCCTACTCTATCTATAAAGTTTTGGCTCTAAACAAACTTTAAGTCAATCAAGGTACACATAAACATGAGATAATAGTCCATTTTCATCTCAATTAAGTGTCAATCCTATGTCTGTGGGTAGCAGCCATTAATAGATATTCCTGGCCAACAAATCCTAGGGAAATAGCGAGCATACATTTTAGAACGCTTGCCTCTGTTTGTCTGTTGACTAGCCTTTGCCGGAGGTATCTGGCAGCAGCTCCACTTTTTGCCTCCATAGCATGAACATTGTTTGACAAGCTTCTCTTTCAATCAAGGTCTCAACTAATTGAGATTTAAGGCCATAGGTCCCAATCATTTCTAGAATTGATTGTGGGCACATTTGTGTGATCTAGGTGCTATAACCAGTGTTGTTCATGATGATTATTGGAGGCAATAGTGTTGTGAGCTCATGCATTGGACAGATGCCCTCATAGTATAACCGGATTTTTAATTTCATCTGTCAATGTATGGATTCAGTAAATGTAAAGTAATTTGATGGGGCATTTGTTTGCCTCCCATAAAACCCCTAATTATGGGTATGAACTGACTGTGATGACATGGTGATGAGTTTATGAGGTAAATGTGTATTGGGGTTGAGTTATGTTTGAGTGCGTTATGCTGTGTGACCTGGTTATGGAAAGACTATCAGCACCATCCCTCGTTATCTCCCATTGTTCTCTGAGGGAGCTCAGAACAATGACATTCTGGCCAGGCTCCTGCTATGGCCGTCTGGAGCTCGTTAGCAGGTGGACACCTGTGGTGTTATGAAGACAGAATGTCCAGGGAGGGGACGGGGGATGTGATGGGATTATATTCTGATCAGATCACTTTCTGTATAAAAGTTTGTGCAGTTGTTCAATAAAGCAGAGTTTGTTTACCCTACACTCCAGCCTTGGCTAGTGACTGGGGAAACTGGGAGCTACAGATCTTCAGGTTTCAATATCTCCTCAGCAAGGAAGAAGACAGCGGCGGACAAACTCATCCTGAGTACGGGGGTCCGTCACACTGACCTTTTGTACTTGCATTTTAGAATGCAGCGCTGTATTTCTTCATATTAAAATTTAGTAATTGCTACAAAAACCTAATCTGCCAGATATTCAGGCCTTTTATAAGCCCAATAAGGTTTTTTTTTATACCTAATTTGATGATAATTGGCCATGGTAGAGGAAATTACTCTCCCTGGCTACTGTTGCTAATTGGGATATGATATAGACAGGGTGGAAAATCAACTTACATGATCATCATGATCATGATCATTTATGCATGTGTATAGGGGCTTTGAAACAAGTCTTTGCACGATCCACAAGTTTAATACTGGTGCCAAACATCCGAATCCTGAATAAGCAACAGGCTGGATAGCCAGCATTATATATTTGTGGACTTATAACCATGCCGTGTATAAATTTGTGTTACAGCTATCACTGGCTAACAGCAGCATGGGTAAACTCAGTCAGCAAACATAGATCAGTTACATATTGTAAATCACGTTTTCCTCACCTTTACTGTGCCATCAGTGCTCCCCGTTAGCAGCCTGGTTTCACTTGCATCTAGAGCCATAGTGCTAATCTCTGCATTTCCATGACAGCCTGAAAACTGTTTGATTTTCCGTCCAGTGTCTATCATCCAGAAAGTAATTGTTGATCCTGTGTCAGAGCTGATTACCTGGAAAGTGGTGGAAAAATGATGTTTCACTAGGAGATTAATAATTGCTAACTAGATGCTAATAAGATTTAAATGCAAGCTATTAACATTATTTTAAAAATACTCCCTTATTAAGTACCCAGCCTACTACTGCTAAATTATATATCTGTAAATAGTTTATGTTCATTATACAAGCTAAACACATTCTATCGTGTGACTAACTCCACACACTTTCCTGGCAATTCTCATTCGCATAATCAAACCTTACTTTCAGGGGACTTTTTTTAAAGTAAGTGCTCCCCAGTAGGGATGAGCCGAACACCCCCGTGTTCGGTTCTAACTCGAACTTTCGAACATGGAAAAAGTTCTAATTCGAACTTAGAACTCAATGCAAGTCTATGGGGGTAGAACTCAGACAATTAAATGTCCCCATTTTGAAGCCTTATATGCAATTAATTGGCCATAAAAAGTGTATGGGGATCCGGGTACTGCCCTGGGGGACATGTATCAATGAAAAAAACACTTTTAAAAAATAAAATTTTTAAAGGAGCAGTGATTTAACATCACTTAAAATGAAACATACCCAGCAGAAGTTCTTTTTAATTTTTTTTATTTAATGAGGTATAGGTCTATCTGTCAATGTCCGTCATGCTTGTTTGTCTGTGCTAATGCAGTACCAAGACAAGGTCTTTGGCACCAAAGATGAAACTGCCACAGTGCACACCCACATCCTGAGTGTACATTTGGACATTCAGTAGCCAGGCAACACCACTTTAGAATGACACCCCAATGCACAAGTACAGTAGATGCTGAAAGACCCATACTCCAGCCCACCACAATGTTCATGCCATTGTGGTTCACTATATTCAATGCAGATGCAGAAATGCAGATCCATTTTTCCTTCCATTGCTGTGAATTATAAGCCCATTCTAAATTAATGGGTTGTCCTTTTGCAACATACATTAGTACATAAAATACTATGCAATAATGTACAGATGTGAAAGGGCTCTAAAAAAAGGAAGAACGGTATCATGGAGTTAATAAACCTTTATTTTTTTATTTTTTTACAATATACATAAAACACTGATTTACAAATGAATGCTACCACAGTACCACAGTATTCATTAAAAAATGAAGAGCACTTGAGCTGTCACACTGGCAGCCAAGCACTGCAGATTGTACGGGGAGAGCAGCTCTACCATTGTAAGCACTGGAGCTCTGTTGTCAATTTGAAAGCTGCCCCCTGCACTCTGTTTAATAGGAGCGCTGTCACGGCTCCTGATACAGAGCTGGAGCTTATCACAATGAGAGCAGAGCTCCCATGTTTATATTGCTGTGCTCTCCTAAAGAATAATATACCTCCTGCGATAAATAATTAAGCAATACACAAGGACTGATCTTTGGGTTACTGTCCTTATTATTTGATATATTAATACATATTATTTATTTGAGATACAGTATGAAGTCAAGTGGTATTCAGTCTACTAGCAAGAATAACACCGAAATAGCATTTTAGGGTGGGCTGACCCTTTAATATATTCAATGATCTAATGTTGAGAATGAGATTGTTTTTTTATATGAAAATCTGATAATGCAAAAGTATTGTTGTGTGCACTACATTGACAAACTTATGTACATTAGTCTTCCGGCAAACTAATTAGTCTGACTTTAATACCCAACTACTGAAATGGACATTGTCATTTTCACTAGCAATTAATCTTCAATGCTCAAAGAAACAAGCTCGAGAAAGAGTCAAAGAACTGTTAAAAGGAAGCTTATTATGAGCCCACAGCAGTGACACATGGCTGAGGTCTAAAGACAGACGATCATCTGCATGTATTTATATATGCAGAGAATTGACATAAGTACATTTTAATAAGTGAATTATAGAGATAGGGAATTAAGAATGTGTTAACCATTTAGGGCAAAGTCCAAATCCCATTCGCACTGCCACGGTCTCAAAACCACAAGGTATATGTGGTGCCCAGGTGACCATACGGATGGCGCCGTGCAAAACACTGATAGTAAATAAAAGTAAATCACCGGCATATCAATACTTATCAATACTTTAAAAACCCTTCAAGTGTGTGCCACTGATTTACATTTATTTACTATTAACCATTTAGGGCTTTTCTAAAATTCAAAGCTGACAATATTCCTTTGTAAAATGCCAATATGGTTTTAGCTTTGCCAGCATGGATATCCGAGTAGAAGTAGAGGCAAGGTGCTGGAACCAGTTTATTGGTTTGTAGATTAAGGGGTCTATTCACAAAGCTGCCGAAGGATCTGGCCGTAGCTTCGGCCGATCCTTCGATACCATACCAGCCTGAAGTGAATAGCCGAACGGTGTTCGGCTCACTTCACTTCTGATCGGTCATTCACTCGCCCTCGGCAGCTTTGTGAATAGACCCCTAAGTCTTTATATTGCCTGAGTTCAGCAGCTCTCCAAAAACCGGAGGCCTTCTCAGTAAGGGAGGGGGGTGGCCCAGCTTGAGAAATTCACATGCAGTTGAACCAGAAAGAGTACCAAGAGTTCATAATTGAATTTTACTAATCCACAGATGTCAATAGAGTGCACAGTTGCTTAACAGAGACATTCACGGATTATATCTAAAATCCCCCTGGCTTCAATTGATTGCTCTTGGCTTCTAGTTTAGAGTCCTAGAAATTCTGTGATAATTGTCAAAGCCTTGATGAAGGGGGATTGTTAGGCCCCAGAAAGGCGTTGGATATTTTTTGTTTGTCATCTGGGATTAATAAAATACAGTTCTGGACTCTTCATAGGTGTGTGTTTGGTGCTCTTTCTGGATCAACTGCAGGTGGATACCTGCATCGATAGGGTCATACTTCTGGATGAAGTATACTCCATTCAGTCAGATTGTCACCAACTAAATGTATATCTGTATATCAGTTTACAAACTAAAACAAATGCGGAAAGTCAGTAGCCTGACATCTAAAGTTTTGAATCTCTTTCTTTTTTAAGGAGCATCTCTAGTGTCGGAGAGAACACTAGAACACCTGAAGTAAAGTGAGCCGAACCCTGTTCGGCTATTCACTTCAGGATGGTACATGATTTAACCCACTAATTAACACCTCCTGTGATCCACTCATTTGTATGTGGCTGGGTTCTAAAGATTAGATAATGGAATAGTTTGGGGTCACTTAGTAGATTAGTTAGATAATAGATTTAAACCATAACTGAATTACATTTAGTTTGCTAAATAGCTGTATTATATGCAATTGTCATTTTTACCATCTAATTAAATACTTGTCTTGTTTATCTTTTTTTAATCTTTGTTGCTTCTACATGCTGCTGATCTACTGCAACCTCTCTACATCCATTTCTACTCGCATGCACTCCAGCGATGGCTGCATGGCATTTCTCAGGGAAGGTTTCCTGATGGTGATAATAGTGCGCCATGTCTGTTTAATGTGTGTTGAAATGGTCACTTGTTGTCTTCATAGAAACCTGTGTGACAGGGTGACAATTTAGGAGCGTAATTGAGAGCATTGTCACCCTATAGCAAGACGTGCTTGAACAGGGACCTTTATGACTACAGATATTAGTTTAACCAAATCAGCAGATTTACAGGTATTGAAAACGACTTATTAAAACACACGAATGAGAGAAATCACTCCATGCAAAACAGTGTGGATAGCGGAACATGCACTGCTGGCTATTGTTTTGAGACAGCCGGAACCGTGGCTGCCTGAATACATGAACAGATTGGATGTAGTCACTGTTTGGCTGACAATTTCCCACCCAGGGACCTTTGATTATTGAAGTGACACTAAACTCAGGAGGTAAATATTTCAAATCGTCATCGTTTTAGGGTTCAGCTCTCTTTCCAATAGCTACAAAAGCCATGTATGTCCATTTCACATGCAAGCCATGTTTAACTATAGCACACATAACACAATAGATGTTCCTGTCTTTTTCAATCTCAGGAAAATTATATAGATAGTTTACACTGTAGATGATGATTGAAAGCAGTGGGGTGTCACCTGCTAAACATTGTTTATCTCAGCTGCACAGTTTTTAACAGTGGCTTATCCTGTAGTTCATTTTCTCACAAAGTTCACATGCAAAGCATGCAAATGATATAATTATGCTACAATAAAACATGACATGAATACATACTGACAATAACCTAAGCATTTCCTTTCAGTCATACTGATTACTCGTTTCAAGCTGGGCTCAAGATGAGCTTGTAAATACAGTCAAAATACACATATGTGAACTGTCATTTGGTATGTCTATGCTGTTGATTTAACAGCGTGGACATACCAATTAAGGAGCAGCAGTACACCTATGAGTCATAACATTGCTTTCTCCTTCTTTAAGCATGCTCACAGTGTTTGACAGCATTGTGCACTTTGCTACTAGTGCTGGCACACCCTCTTCTAGACTAGGTCCTGCTGTGCATGGGATTACAGGATGCTAATATAACACCAAATGCAGGTGTCAATTGCATTTATAATAATTGGAATATTTTCTTAATGATTGCATAAACTTATTAATCAAAGTTTATAGCTTTATAGATACAGTATTTGGAACCTTAGTTTCCATGTTCAAGGAATGTAGTAGAATTAGCTGTCTGAAAGAATAGTACACCAAAGTATGTGGATGTAATGAGCTTGATGATCCCAATCAGCAGCACAGTGGGTAATAATGATGACTGTGCTATAAAGGTCAGGTTCCACCAACTAAACCAATGATGTGCTATTGATCTCACCGAATTCTATAACAGAATCTGTCTGTATTATTCAGGATCTGCTCTCATTACATTCCTCCTCAGTGATACATCTGACTGTCACCTTATTACACAAATCTGTGACTTGCATGTAAAGCTTACCTGTTTAAAAGTCGAGTTGTACAGTACACACGTTACTGGTTTCTCGTGGCTTGTCACTTGTTTGCTAGCTTCACTTTTCATTTCTAGAACTGCCAACTGATTGTTAAATGACAGCAAGAGGCGTCCATGGGGCTCATAGAAAAAGAAGGTAATTTGGAATTCCAGAGTTTTGGGGAAAATCCCAGCTATGCGTTGTATGCACACTTGATGGTGAACATCCCATACCCTCAACACCTGCAAAAGGAATAAAAATACAGCTGGTAATATTGTATCTTTCAAGGCTGTTATTGTACCCTTTAGAGCCGTGGTTCTCAACTGGTGGGTTGTGACCCAAAAGTGGGTCGGCGCATGCTTTCCACTTTTTTAGGTGAGAGGCTCCTCAGCCTCCCCCTAGCGCAGCACTGTCAGTTCTCGCGCCAAACAGCCATTCAAAATATGCTGCCCGGCATCGAGTGTCAGCTTGACGTGGGGTGGGACGGGGTTATGGCCGCGAGGGAGCTCCATCCATATGTGCATTGCTTACAGCTCCCTCACATGTCCTGTAAGGTGCCAGGGCTGGAGTGACGTCACATTCTAACTCCCGGCACCTCTACAGGGCACGCAAGGGAGCTGTACAAGCAACGCACATATGGATGGAGCTGCATCACAGCACAGCAGCCCACAGTGGACCCCAGGCGGAGGATCCACTCCAGTTATCGTAAGGTAGGAGGTGTGAGAATGTGTCTGTGTATGTATGTCAATGTTTTTGAGGGCCCTAGGACACACTAGTACGGTGTGTTAAACTGTACCACGCAATCACACCTACCTTGCATTCCGGTGTGGGAGGTGTGTTGCGTTGCCATTCATTTGACTTGTTATGATGACATAACGTTTCAATAAATGTATACTTTGGAATCTGGTGTGCTGGTAACATCTACAGCCAAACGCACCTCCCTCCCACAGTTCTTACACCTGCACCGGAACGTGCAATACCCTAATGCCATGCGCTCCATTGCAGTGAGACTTGGGTCGCGACTTAATGACCAAGGACAAATGTGGGTCCTGAGGTCACACAGGTAGAGAACCACTCATTTAGAGTATGTCCCCTGCACTAAACATTTCAAATAGTACCATAGAAATAAAAGGATTCATTTATACTGACTGACAATCTAGAATAGTAAAGCAAGAATCAAGTTGTGACATGATAGTTTTTTTTTTTTATTTCCATATATTTTTTGTTGAAAATGTTATTATGCAGAAAAATAATATATGAATAGACAGTATGACATTGACGTTTCAGTAGCTTTTTGCAATATTTTTGCCAGAATAAAAACAAAGATACTAACGACAAATTGGCATTATCAGCTTGGCAAAAAAGGAGGAGTGTAATATACCATCTACTGTAGGCAATAGGGAGAGAAAGAAAAAGAGAATAACAAATAAATTATGACATATATAAACAAATTAAAATATAACACTGACAACTCCACAACTCAATGGGCTAAGTCGCTAAAAAACATAAACATACCTTATCTTTAGAGAAACTGAAAAGCTGCTTGCGACTGGAGATAAATTTGACAGTCATCACACTGGCCATGTTGCCTTGAAGAACTCCATTGGGTTTGGAGATGACATACGGATTCCACAGGCAAATTGTATGGTCAATTCCGGCAGTTGCTGGCAGGGAAAACAACAAGACACATAATTAATTTGACAACACAAAAAGGTTATTGTGTTCATTAAAAACCATAAATGTCATGTACATCTAATCATTTTGGTTCTTACATGTTTTTTCGTTAGTAAATATCACATCAATGATAACTACGGTATTATTGATGGTATAATGCCAGCACATGGTCTTATTAACAGGGCAGAAGAGTAAAGAAGGAGTACCTTTAAGACACATCAAATTTATTTCATTTAATAAATGCCTTGTCTGGCTATTGGAGGAAATCTGTGGTTAAATCCAGATGTAATACTGAAGAAAGGATTGAGGCACAAGACTCTCTGAAGCTTAAATAAGAACTCTGGGGGGAAATTCTATTAACCTGTACATTGGATCTACCCCAGCACTGCAAGGGTTAACTGCTTAATTGTGTCTAGGTCCTAAAAAAAGTTACAGCCACTTGATCATTCGAGCCAGCGTGCTCTTAGACCGTTCCCTAGAGCATCTCTCCCCCCTCCTCTGCAACAATCTAAGAATCCTTGTGCCATCATGTTCTGCACAAATGTATAGACATGAGGACGCTGAGGAACTTTCCATCTGTGTAGCGGTGGAGAAGACATGCTTCAGTGACTGCAGAAGCAGGGAGTCGACTCGGCAGTTGAGTATAACTTTTGTTTTGTATCGTCTAGACAAAAATGAGCAGCTAACCCTGGCAGTGCGGGGGTAGACCACCTGCAAGGCTTAATAACATTTTAGCCCTGAGTTCTTCTTAAAGTAATATTCTATGTTTTCTGTGTACAACTTTGACTAGTGTAAATTTCAGTTTTACGGCAAAAAAACAGAATGCTGTCACAAAAATAAATTCCAGACAGCACAACAAGCATGAAGCACTCTTGACTTTCAGCTCTGGATCCTGGGTTTATAGGCATGCATACAGTATGTAATTTGCATGCTCTCTTCATGTTTCTGTGAAATTCCTCTGGGTTGCTCACTGGATCCAAAGAAATACTGGTTATTTAATTGGCTATATTGTGTGTAATAGGGACATTTGTTTGTGCGTCCCTTTAGTGAACAATGATGTATAAATACTTTGCAACATAAATATTTGCAATGGCTATATTTAAGCGATATAGTAGTCACAAATGAAAGCCTGCTATGCAATTTTTGCTAGTTCTGTAGACTCTGACTAATGTAAGGATCACCAACGATAAGTGTTCAGTGTCCAGGTTAACAAATGAGCACAAGCTCTTGTGCATTGAAAGTTACAGGCAGCAGGAATTTCGAAAACAAACAGAAATGATCCAACCAGAGTAATAGACTACAACAAAGATATATCCACTAAGGTGTCTTCTGAATTCTGGGGTCACCTAGACATCATTGCCGGATTCTAATAAGATCGGCATAATCAGTTGCCTGTCAAGGAGTCCAATAATGATTTTTTCATCTTTACCTGTAGATTTATTAATTCTATTATTGAACTCCTTGATAATTAAACTATAAAAGTGTCAACTGTGAAGGATACAGCATTCTGTGCTTTAATTCTATACACATTACTATCCATCTGATGTTTACACTTTCCATGCATGTTGGTAATATGGCAACTCAAGCAGAGCAACGTGTCTTCTTTGTTCACTACTGGATGTCATTCAAAAGAAACACCCCCCGACTATGATGTTACTTCTCACACACTAGTAAAAAGTCAGTCATGCTGGTTTCAGAGATTTTTTTATGTTAACGTATTTAACGTTTTATGTATTTGAGACTGCTGGAGACAACACAAATGAGTTCATGGTTTGTAAAGTAATTTGCAGAATATCATCTAACAGCTTTACCCTTTCATGTCCAGAGGTCCTTAAAGGAGAACTATGGGGTCAGTGTTTTTCCCCATAGTTCTCCTTAGGGTAACGGGAGGACACAAACTAGCGTCCTCCCGTTACCCTAAGCGCAGTATACCGCGAGCAACAGCTCGCGGTATACTGAGACGCCGAAGCCCAGGTTAAATTGAAAATACCTCTATGACTAATTGGCATACTGACATAATATGTTATATTTTTTAAAGACATTTTCAGCTTTTATTTAGCACACTGTTTACATAAAAACCCTGTTCTGTTTTTTGTTATCTGATGACAAATATACAAAGATGTCAAAGAAAAATGTCAATTTTTAAAATTAATGTATTACTATTTTTAATAATGTAATTGTATTTAACAATTATGCTAGTAAATGGATGGCACTGCAGATACCACTGCAGTCTAAAGGTGAAAGTGTTTATCTGGAGGATGAAGGCCTATTTTGTCAATTAAGGGGTCTATTCACAAAGCTGCCGAAGGATCTGGCCGTAGCTTCGGCCGATCCTTCGGCTAGCTTCGGCACCAGAAATCAGCCGTACCAGCCTGAAGTGAATAGCCGAACGGTGTTCGGCTCTCTTCACTTCTGATCGGTCATTCACTCGGCTGCCCTCGGCAGCTTTGTGAATAGACCCCTAAGTCTTCTGCCTAAATGTGATCACTATGTCATAGCTGACTTGATAATCACATGATTGCAAACCACTCTGATTGGTTCCTAATTATCACTCAGCAACCCAGCTGTCCGTGGAAGCTGAGATTGGAGGGACATTTATTAACGTATCCCCAGCATTCCGCATTATGCTGGGGAACATCAATAAACAGATTGTGGACAGGAAAGAGATAAACATATAACTTATCAAGTGGTGATTGGCACTTTTGTATTATTTGAAAATAACATGTTATTAGCTAGAACTCTCCTTTAAGATATAATAAAGATGCTGCAGGCTTTTCTTTACAGCATTTGTCTTACTATAACCATGAACTTGGCACAAAGTACTGTAACTGAACAATAACATTTCCATGAATTTTAATAGGAAATAAACTGTGGCCAAACTGCTTCCGTGGAAATAATCTCTGGGACTACAATAATATATGAACGCAGCTTTTTGTAGTGTGCTGTATAGTATGCTCATGTCTCTAAGGTAAAATAAAGGACCTCTAATTCTCCTAGAAAGAAAATAGCATCGTTAGATAATACACTCCTGTATTGGTAAGAGTGACCGCACACTGTATAAATTCAAATTATTTGTTTACTCATACAGTAGCAGTTGTGAGCCAATTTAATGTAGAAACTCAACACAGATATAGTTAACATCTGCCAATCCCAACCTCATCCACAGAATGAATAGTCAAGCTGTTATGCTTAAAGTGACCCTATAATCTAATGTAAAATAAAGCTTAATGGTTAACAGTTATCTTGATGAAATGGATAAATAAAGAGTAACAAATGTACTTTTCCTGGAGAAAATGCTGTTTGGTTCCCTCATATCTGGCCACATGAGTGAAATCCTGTATAAATTGCCATCTGATCTGTAGGGAAGGACCAGTCAATCTCTCAGTTTTCGTGAGCAATAGCCCGCTATATACTGAGCTTTGGGTCAAGGGAGAACTATGAGATAAAAAGGTTACCCCATATTTCCCTTTAAAGGTACTTGAATGCATTCTTAGTTTAGTACCACTTCAAGTAAGACACTGTCATTCGGGGAAAGATGCTTGGTTGTCCTCCCAACAAGTGTGTGCATAATAATATTATCCTTCACCTTCAAACCTAGCTTGAAGGCCTGCGTTCAGGATTGTATTGACTGGCATTTAAAGCATCAGAATCTGGTGCAGCCTAGGTACGTAGCTCTGGCTTTGTTGGATCTGAACAATGTTGGCAAGGAGGCAAATTATATCAAATCTGTCTTGTCTCATTCCACCAAATACAACCACTACACCAAATATTTCATGGAACAACCCTTTAATATATCACGAATTTCCTAAACAAACTGGTGTATCAATTTAAACTCCATTAGAAAAAACAGTTTTGAATGACAGAATTTGTGAATTTCATTATACCACAGATCATAAATGTAGTCACAGAAAAATATGAGAAATGTCAGTATATTTTTCAGCTTTCTGCTGTCTATCTGCCTTCTGTCATCCCCTATTTTTTTTACCTTCACTTCTACTTTCGCTATGTATGTGGCCATTAGTCTTATCAACCGCCTGTCTGCACATTTCTTTTACCAAATTCATACCTCAAAGTCTGGTGTATGGCTAGCATATATATCTGAATAGGAATGTCAAGCACACCTTGTACATGCTAATCATAATAGTTACATCTAAGCCAAAGGCACATCACAATGTTGCCTGGGGTTAAAAGTGTATGATGTGTTAGAAATAAGATGTTGTTGCTATGGCAACAATCTGAGAACTGTGTCAAAGCTCTTACAATTTGTTCTTCTAACAAATTTCATTAAGTCATTGCAGACTTCATACATCTAGAAGACAGTTCTCATTAATGTCTGCCCAGAGTATTTTGTGTGAAGTGGAAGAAATCCAGATGGACGCCATTTTAAAAGCTTTAGAATTTTTCTTAAATGCAATCTGCCACACAGCAAATGTTCCTGGGTAGTGACTTTGAAACTCTTTAACTTCACTGAGAGTCCATGCCTGGTAAAGAAACATGTTCACTTAAAAGGCAGCCCCCCACCAGTAGCACATACTCATCTTCTTTGCGCTGTCCCCATTTCTCCCTTTAGCTGCCAGGAGCACAGAGGAGGGGAGGGCATAGGACCCACCCATTTTCTCCCATATGACAGTGCTGTTTGGTGATAATCTGCTTAGGCACTCAGTGCTGTCACATAGGGAAGGGAAGAGTGTCTTCATCACTGTGTAAGCTTCAACTTGTTACTCAGTTCTTACATAGGGATAACTCTTGGTCCCCATTGACTGGGGAGTTAGAGGAATGTAAATATGAGCAGATGTAGGTTTGGCATACTCAAACACAGGTTAAGTTTAAAGTCTGTCTCAAAATATTTTAAGTATGTCTTTGAAGGTTCTCATATACCCAGGTCATGATATAGCTAGCAATAGTCACATTCAACTGGACCCGTTTTGTAGAGTTAAAGACATTTCATAATTTATTCAAGCCGCATCTTCAGTTCTGTTGTGTCAGGAAAAAAAAAACTGCATTTAAATAATCCCAGGTAGGGCAGGCACCTAAATGTAATCATCATGGAAAGGCAGATGTTGATTGTCTAAGTACCGAACGGGAGGTGTCAAAGATGTGGAACCACCATGTTCTAGTTACATAATCAAATCCTGGGTGTCAGGAAGGCTGTAAAGGTGGTAGACTCAGAAGGATCTTTAACAGACATTGCACCCCTGTGTCTTTTAAGCCCAACAATACACTGAGACAGAAACTTGTACATCCAAAAGACCTAACTGTCACGTACTTGGTAGAAGACCGAATAGCCGAGGAGGCCTCCTTTGTGCCTCTTGTCTCGCACCCTGGAGGTGGGGACTGGGAGTGAAAGACAGAGTGGCACGGGTACCAAGGCGTGTGAACACTGTGCTGGGCCACAGTCCAGAGGCAGGTTCCCGATGCAGCAGAGGCAGGGCCAGGATCCAGCTGGGAGACCTGCAAGGTTCCAGGTCAGGAACAGAAGTGAAGTCAGACAAGCCAGGGGTCAAAATCAGTCGGGCAGCGTGGTACCAGGGCAGGAGTCAGAGGCAAAGTCCACAAACAAGCAAGGGGCAGGCAGCGATCAGACGAGGTAAAAGCAATCTTGGTCAAGGCAACAGGAGTTCAACAGGCAGAGTAACAGGATGCACGCACACTAGCTGAAAGACCGTTCAGCAAAATCCAGCAGCACCAGGTGGTTTAAATAGGTTTATCCATCAGTAGCAGATCCTTATTTCCTGTGCGCCAGTGTAAGCGTGTCTTTGTGCGCACGCTGCGTTTCACGCACCTGCACATTAGCGCGTGTTTCCCGAAGGTACGAAAAACTGGACCATGCGCATGCGCAGTACCAGAGGATCAGCCGGACATGGCCTTACACCAACACCCAAATGCATACAAAGTAACTTGGTATATGCAGTGCAGTGTATTAAGGAATGCAAAGACCTGTACATTGGGGAGACAAAACAACCGTTCACCCAATGAATAGACCATCATATGAGGCCATATTCTACAGGTCAAGACTCAGCAGTGCTCCTACACCATCAGGAAAAAGGACATTTTTGGCAAAGTGACAGCAAAGTGTACATTTTGGACAACTGGTTCACAAGAGAAAGAGACATTAAGAGGAACCATCTATATAATACTGGAGCAGCCATCTTTGAACAGGGATGAAGGCATTACCATCTGTCTCCTCTATATAATGTCGGTTTAACATTTTAAACCCCACATATTTACAACAATTTCCATATTGAAGGTTTGGCAGCTATACAGACTTCCTGGACAATGACAAAATGAAGCCCAGGGCCATCTGCATTGTGATAGTCCAGGAGGGGAGGGGGACAGAGTTGTGACCACAGCGCTGAGGTCTAGAAGACATGCAGTGCTACAGCCAGAGCAGGCACGGAAGTTCAACATGATGTATAGATGATGATTTGCGGGGAGAAGAAGCCAGTATTGAATATGGCAGGTGGGTTTTAGGAAAAGGCACTGTACATCCATTGCTGAAGGAATGACCACATACAAGCACAGTATTTCAAATTTCTCAAAGTTTTTTCTGACAGTTAGTGGCATGTGGCCACCATAAATCTTCTCTAAAATAATATTGTGGTTATGTTATTTAGCCAATTTACATACTAGTAGAACTCTCCTTTAATGTAAACCTGTCATGAGAGAAATACAGCGGCTGTGTTTAGTTAATGTTCTTTCCTGAGTCACTGACCCACAACAAGCATTCAGCCAGTGAGGTCAGAACCTCTCATCTGCATGCTAGTTCCATGTTAGTAGCTCAAAAAGCACTGTAGTCAGAGACTTAACATAACAACAAAGCAACTATCATTTTCAGGAGGATATGAGCAATAGTAGCTCTCATAATTTTTTCAAGGTAGGTTTCCTTCAAAGAGACCTAGGCTGTTGACTTTGCAAAGTGGAAGGTAATAAGGTGAACTGTGTTCACTATGAATACACAATGATGTTTAAGAGAAAAAAAAACATTTTTTAAAATTTGGCACATGATTTGTTCATTGAAGTAAACTTCCTCTTATTTACTAAGCTCAACTTAACATTTACTTTGCAAAGTGAAGAGTCTGTCATTTTTTAAATCAACCCTTCTACACAAAAAAAAACAAAAAACTGCAGGTATAAAGCAGAAGTACCTAGAAGTGCCTGAACATACCTGCAACAGCTTCAAAAAGTTCAGTTAATTTATGGCTGAAACTATAGCCCTCCCAAGTAGTGCTGGAGCTTGCTGATGAGCCCTGCCCTCATAGTTCTATTGGCCTATAATTATGATGGGCTGCCTTACTGTATAATAGGAATGTGCAGGAGGCAGGGAGAGGCGGACAAGCTCTACCTGTTGCCGTTTCTTAGATTCTTCTTAAAGGAGAACTATGAGGTGAGTGCTTTTCACTCACCTCATAGTTCTAGCCGACCTGTGACAACTAGCCGACCTGTGACAATGAGACTGTCACAGGTCGGCTCAGTAGATCGGGAGGTGAGCGAACACATACCGGCCTTCGTTCACCTCTCGATCCTGTCACAGCTCTCTGCCGTGACAGGGGAAGGGCTGGATTCCCCCTCCCCGCTCCGATCCGCCAGCGCTGACTGGCGGAACGGACGGGGGAGTGGGCGGGTACAGCTGGCTCTGCCTCTAGATAGGCAGAGACAGCTGTCAGTCACGCAGCTGGGCGGATCCAGACATACTTGTCGGGATCCGCTTCAGCTGCGGCGTCGCGGCATCTCAGTAAACCGCGAGCTACAGCTACAGGTGATGGGAGGATGCTAGTTTGTGTCCTCCCGTTACCCTAAGGAGAACTATGGGGAAAAGCCTTAACCCCATAGTTCTCCTTTAAGGCCTTGTTTTCACATGCGGTAAAAACAGGCAGTTGATCCGCATTTTTACCATTCACTGAAAACCTAACATAGCAGCTGCTGACATTTGTATACATGCTGTGGAATTTTTTATACAGCACGCTGTGTTTGGAAGACTGTGCCACTTGCCAAACATGTCCAATAAAGTATAATTAAACCTTACTTTTTTTGCATATATCTACTGCTAGCGAGCAGTAGATATATGCAAAAACATTTTTATATAAGTCACTAAAAAGGTTATTACTTTCCTGTGCCGCCGCCCGCTCCCGTCCAAAGATCTGAAAAATTCTCGAGTGGCAGTGAAGGATCATGGGGTGGGCACATGCGCAGTAGAGATCTTCGGCCGGGAGAAGAGGAGAGACACAGGGTAAGTCAATGCAAGCAGCCCGGCAGCATGCACCCACACAGACTCCGTGGGACAGGAAGACACAGCAGTCAGCGCTGGATCAGAGACCGGCACCTGCGCTGGAGGGATTGCTGAAAACTATTGGAAAGGAAAAGATGATTCAATCAAGAGGCATCATTTATTTAAGGTACCTCCTTAAAGCAGCATGGGTAGGGGGGGGGATTTTTGCCTTTAATGTCAATTTAAGGTCAATAGGACTGCGGTGTAGTATTGCAATGCAAAGTTCCCCTTGAGATAACAAAATAAAAATCAGGCATCCAGAAGGTGTCAGTATCGTCTCCTGGAGCCTGAGAAACCACTGCTCTGAAAAGCGATCCACCATGGATCTCTTATCAGAGAGCGGTTAAGGTCTGCCGCGTGTGTAAACAAGGCCTAACAGTCCAATTTTAAAAGCAGACAAGTATCAGGTAATATTATCTCTTTAGTAAAAACAAAAAACAGGAGGGACACATACCACATTATTATCTGACATATACAAATAACCTCAGCCACAGCAAGACTTTCACTGTCCCGATACATACCAATTATATTTAATCCAGAATCATAGTCAAAGCCATTAATTCCTTTGGTAATGTGCAGCGATGTTGTCCTCAGATGGGTTTTGCCTTTCTCTCTCCAGGCCAGTATCACTGTGTTATTGTCACTTGTACTACACGACAGAAAAGCCTCCAAATGAGAGCTGTAACTAACTGCGGGCGAACACAGAAATATCCTCATTAGTTTTGCGCAAGATGCTATTTGAAGTTACATCTGCAGCTGCGAAAAATGTCAAGCAAATCCGAAAATGATCTTTATTACCATGACAGATTGAAAATGTTACAAGAGTACTACAGTTCCATTAAGGTCAATTAAGAAGCTGTCATATTTTTAATCAAACCTTTTCCACCCAAGCAAAACATTTCTTGAGACTATCTGTAAAACCGGGCAGCCGCGTTGTGTGACTTCATTATACCATAATGCACGGAACATGCTTTTTCTAAATGTACTGGAAATAGGAATATCAATCACAGGGTTTTAGGTCAAACTAGACAGGAGATTGCAGGTAGGCTTCTGTGCAATTAGATTACAATATTTCTGCAATGTTAACAGGGAAGTATTGTCATCTTCGCAGCAGAAAAATGTTGCCTGAAGTATCTGAAGCAAAACCAAAGCATATCTTTAGCGGTAACCTTCCAGCTGCTAAATGTAATGTGATATTAGTCAGGAGAAAGGGGAAACTACTGGAACATTAACATGGCTGAAAGAATTGAAAGATTCTCTCATAGTTTAATTTAAATGTGCCATCTTGTTGGAAAAGATCAGCCCAGCACTAGACAGCTGGAGTGACTTTGTCTGCTTATTACATAAAGTATACATCATCCTCAGTCACCCAGCAGATGATAGGAATTATTATACATCACATACAATTGTTCTCCATTATGCATTTAAAACGCCAATTGCCTTTCTTAGAACTGCTATCAATCACGTTTACACATAAGAGCTACACGTCAGAATTCATTTATTTTTCATGAACTGTCTATTTGTTTAAATGTGTGTGTCGGGCCCAAATGTTATTTCTTTGTTTTGGGTAGAATGGGCAAGTATTAGAATACCGGTCAGGTTTTAATGCTGTTTCTGTGTTAGGCCCCTTTCAGACGGGCGGTCTGATCAGGTTCACCTGTCAGTTTTTCAGATGGATCCGATTGGAAGCCCAATGTTAGCCTATGGCAAGCTGGGTCTATATCATGGGTGGGGAACCTTTGGCCGTCCAGCTGTGGTGAAACTACAAATTCCTTGAGGCCTTTGCAAGATTATCACAGCCACGGGGATGACTCCCAGAGACAGTAGCATCATGGGATTTGTAGTTTCACCACAGCTGGAGGGCCAGGGCTTCCCCACCCCTGGTCTAAATGGACGCGTGTCCATTTACATCTGATTACCCCCAACTCCTGCCTAGTGCAAAAAAACCAGTCATAACAGAGTTCCGTTTTGGCAGACCTGATCATGACAGATTGGGGGTAATCTGATGTAAATGGACACATGTCTGTTTATATCCGATTCTCCATAATCCTAACATGGGTCCGTAAGTTCAGTTTTTTCCTCCATTGTAGGAAAAAACTGAAAAGACATGGATGTCACAAAGGTATCCATGCACAGACTCCCTGCTATTCGAAACTGACATGACAACATGATTGGGAGTCTTCCAAGGCTCTTTTAAAGGGCCGAGTGGTGTGCAGCAGTAGTGTGCAACATCTGCCTCCAAACTGGACAAAAGAAACTGTATTTTGTAGGTAGAATATTTATGGCTACCCCATACCAGCCAACTTTCTGAGATGTGAGGGACACTTTCCAGCACAATGCGTTTAGGTGATGGACACACCTCTGCCACCCGTTATGTAGACCATTAGGAATTTATATGCCAAAAATAATTGGTTAAACCATGAACTTTTTTTATCATTACTTTTCCTTGATACTGGGTTTTCGAAATAGTAAACAAGATAATTAAGAGATAAGTTGAAGGTTTTAGTGCAGAATAAGAATTTTAGTACCTAAATCGTACATTTTTATAGGTAGCTGTACATCAGACCAAAAAGAGGGACAACTAAGGAGGAAAGAGTGACAGAGGGATCTGGTTCCAAATGGAGGACAGTTGGGAGGTATGCTAGCCTTGTCTAGAGACATAAGCTGGCTAAGCAGGAGAAAGAACACACTAAATCCTATAAATACTATGGGTGCAGTTTATACAGGTCCATCAGTTGATGGCATTGTATAAAAACACTGCATGCTTATTGCTCACATATATAAAGACGTTTCCAATAACAAAAAACAATATACAGTTTATTGCAGCATGTACAGTCATAGCACAGACATATAAAACCGAGATATAGAGCAGAAGTACATCACCTTGGCGCACCCAGTTGTTTTCATGGAGTTTGTGTTTTAAGATGCTACAACATTTGTGGAAGCCAGAAACTAACTCATTCCAAGAAATGTAAAGAGTTGTCTGCTGGTCTTCCGTAGAATTAACAGGTCGCTCAAACAAGGATATCAAAGCTGTTGTGAAACAAATAGCCTGGACCTGAAACAACAGCAAACCATATTACGATAGTTACAGATAATGGGTTTGGCTTTATATTGTTAGGTATGTTTATTTTTTTCTAATCTTATTGACAAAAAAAGCTAAAACAAACTATTCTTATAGAACTGTTACATTTTGTGACGGTGTAAAAGGAAAAATGATTGTGTATGTGGCTTTGTACTGAATGACACGAACATGATAGCTAAAAATAAAACCTCTACAGAAGCTGATTGGTCATATACTGTACATACAGAGACTGTCAATTGACTATATTCAGTCAATTGCCACCCTAAGATGCATTGATTCATTTGACATGCAGGAATATTGGATGTACATTTTGACCAAAGAAGGGATAACCTAAGGATCTTATCTTTAATTTTCCAATGGGTAGTCTAAAGCTTCCTGCAAACTGTACAGATGGCCAGCAATGCATACACGGCCTGGCTGCTGAACAGTCTTTGTAAGAATAGATCTTTATACAAGTGTGCAGGTTCCCATTGTAAAAAATTGCATTTTGAATCTATGGAAAAGGGAGAGGCAATTCAGCAGGCACCAGCTAGTTTTGGTGAAAACAATAGTTGCCATTGGTTAGGATTGAGGCCTACAGACAAACATTCCCTCAACCAACTGAGCAGATCATGTGTCTCTATTGTGTGCCCGTGCCTTAAGAATGGAGGGGTGGATAGGAGGTGGTAAATATACTCTATAACATGGATCCTACTGGTAAGAAGCATAAGTGAACCTAGAGTTAAAGATTAGTAAATTAACTGGTAGCCAGCCACCCTAGTACCTCACCAAACCGCTTCTGACAGCTGCAGCTCTGGGTTGCAAACCTAATTCAGTAGAACTTTACCTGTCCATTAACATCTCCGATTGTCAGAATGGCATTGTTACCATCATCATGGTCATGCCAGTAGTCCATAGAAATCGGTGTGCCAGGAAGTCTTTGCAGTTTATACTGACAAAATAGGTCCTGCTTTGAGTTCAGATCATAGAAGCATATCTCCTTACTGGTAAAGGCAACTGCAATCTACAAGGTGGAAACAAAGAGAGGTAAACATCCTTAAAATTAGATTACCGTGTATTTATTGTGAGCATAAATTATTATTATTGATCATTTTGTCTCTCTCAGAGGGAGTTCATTGTTCCTAAGGCATCAACCAACATAGAGACTTGCACTGTAAGAAGGAGCAGTAAGGCACAACCATTGCCCAGCAGTGTAAAGCAGAAAGTTGATTGCATGTTGGTCATGGGCAACTCAGTCTGTCACGATTAACAGTTACAAATAATAAACAAAAAACTAGCAAAAGACACAGATTTCCCCAAAAGGGGATCCCACCATTCTTTCAAAGTGTACGCAAGATAATATGTAAAAATATATATATTTATTATAGGAATTTTAAAATGTATATCACATATATCAAAAGATGACAACAAGACATAAACCAACATGTATATGTGGCTGCATTCCGTTACAGATACCAGACAATGCTATAGAAAACACACAGTACGGGCATGCCCTGGAAAGACCTAAATATTGTAATTGATATAATATGCTCGCATTAACCAGTGTGTAAATATTGGAGTCCGTATTTATATGAAAAAGGGAGCTCTGTATTTTAAAAAATGTATATCGAGAAAAAAGGAAAAATGAAGAAAAAAACGAATAATAATCATCATCAAAGTATAAAAAAAGATGAATGTAAACTCACAATGAGATTTATCTTCGTTTTCGGATCCGGTTTGAAGAAAGATAATGATGTTACTGACACTCCAACTGGATCTGTTTTGCAGAATGTCGGTAGTACAGGAGATGTGATTATATCTCGGCTTTTGAGGTAATAGCTGTAGATCAATGCCTTAACTGAACTCCGATATAGATTCCATGGAATTTTGATCCAATTTGTGGGATACCATGTAGGTGGAAAAGATTTTCTTTGTTGGATCACTATGAAGTGATTCGATATCCTCTTTTTTGCAGTGGTATAGGGATCCAAAGAGATGTAGTCATCAGATGTAACAAAAGCTGTGATGATAGCTACGGTAAATTCAGGAGATAGCTTTGTCTCTGCTTTTTTGGAAATATAAGGCTTTACTGAAGCCGCAGCGTCTTTATCCTTGATTTTTCATAAACGGACCTCCAATATATTTCTGGTAATTCGATGTGTAGGATAGAAGTAAGCCATAAGGGTATATTAGGCAAATCACAGGGCAGCCTTCAATGTTGCAGCCACATTAAAAGAACCTCTGCTAAACGCCTATGACGCGTTTCACCCACTCCCACACCGGGGCTTCATCAGAAGGGCGCTGTTTAGCACAGGTTTTGACTCTACTATTTAAGTAGAATGAAAATCATTACATCAGTTAGTAACACATGAGAGCTGTTTCAACACAATCACGTGCTCGTATGTGTCCCCGCAGGGCCTATTCTTTCAACCGGAAAAAAACAATCCGTTTGGTATTAGCTATCCTATGGGGGATCACATAAAACTTTCCGAGCCAGACTATCCATTGTGGTCCGTGGTTCAATAAATTTGTCTCATATAGATTCATTGCTATCCTCCCTCTAAAACTTAGGATCCATCACGTCATCCCATTCAGCATAGTGGAATACATAAAGGAATAAAACATCATTGTATACATATACTTATAAGCACAACTAAATGCATATACCACAGATCTGTATATTGAGGGACTATGTCAATAAATGTCCATAAGCATCTATTACAGGTGCATATATGTAAGTCTCTATAAAAAACGGTTGTATGTTGGAATGGGAATCAAGTCACACGAAGTCACAAAAAGCAACTGAAATTTATAGCTTCATTAATTCCTGGTTCTTCAAAAGATCTGGTGGAGTGGATCCATTTACATTCTCTCTGAAGTATGGATTTGTCCCAATCTCCCCCTCTATTGGACATATGAATTCTGTCCATGACAAAGAAACGAAGTCCCTATGTTTTCCCCCCATGTGCACTTACCATGTGTCGGGCAATGGGGGACCTAAGGTCATGTGCCCCAATGTCCGAGACATGGTCTGAAATCCTATTTTTCAGCATTCTTTTTGTTTTCCCTATGTAAAACATGTCACATGAACAAGTTAAAAGGTATATGACACCTTTGTTTTCACAGTTAGTGAAATGTTTGCATTTAATATTCTGTCCCCTGGGAGTGATAATCTCAGAACCCGTCTGGATAAAAGCGCAAAATTTGTAGGTGCCTGGATTTGGCATTTGTAGGTGCCTGGATATTTACAGCAGGATATTTTTTTATTTTTAGTATTGTATTCACTGGTGATTAATTTATCTTTTAGGAGGGGCATTTTTGTATATTATTGTTGTTTTATTTTGTAAAGACTTAAAAATTCTGGGGATCTTTTAATAGACAGTGCCAATGTCTAGTTAGAATGTTCCTCACTGCTCGATGCTGATTATTATATGTAAGGATTAATCTAAGTTGATCATGATTTTTGTTTTTTCCTTTTTCTTTTTTTGTCCAGTTTGGTTGTAATTGATTTTGGTTTTATTATAAGCCTTTTTTAGAATCTTGTTGGAATATCCTCTTTGTTGTAATCTATACCTCAAATTTTTTGCCTCCAGTTCAAAGTCCTCCTCTTGGCTACAATTTCGCCTCGTCCTGAGGTATTGCCCATATGGGATACTATTCTTCAGGTTTTGAGTATGGGCACTGCTGGCCTCTAATAAGGAGTTCCCAGCAGTGCTCTTCCTATATAGCTTAGTGTATAATTTACCTGTTTCGCTTTTACAGATGAAGATATCCAAAAAGGGCAGCTGTGATTCATTCATGTCCATGGTGAGTCTCAAATTTAGATAATTGAAATTAAGAACATCCACAAAATCCTCCAAGATGTTCTTCCCTCCGGTCCAGAGAATCAAGATATTGTCTATGTACCTGTGCCAGGAGAGTACATGGCACAGGTACATAGATAAATCGTCTCTGGACCAGATATCCTCTTCCCATACCCCCAGGTTGGCATAGGTTGGTACAGGTTGGCATATGAGAGAGCACACCGTGTTCCCATAGCTGTTCCCTGTACCTGGAGGTAAAGGTTATCATCAAAGGAAAAGGTATTATGAGTTAAAATAAATTGTAGAAGTTCAATCAGAAAAATATTGTGATCATGTTCTGATGTTCCTAACGACGCTAGAACTTTTTTTATAGTATCTATCCCTTTTTGATGGGGTATGGAGCAATAAAGGGCTTCAACATCAAGTCCTACCAGGAGGGTCCGTTCAGGAACTTCAAGGTCTCTAATTTGGGAGATACAATGGGGGGTATCTCTCACATACGAGGTGAGGGCTTCAACATGTGGACGTAAAAAGTGGTCCACATATGTGCTGGCATTCTCGGTTAGGGCCCCATAACTCGATATTATTGGGCGAACTGGTGGATTTAGTGTGTTTTTATTAATTTTTGGCACAGGGTATATCACTGGGACTCTGGGATGTTGGATTTTAAGGAAGTTACTGGTATTTTTATCTATGACATTATTTTCAAATGCTTTATCAATAATATCAAATAGTTTTTGTTGGTTCTTTTGCATAATACCCCATTTAATCGGTTGGTACCATTGTCGATTATTGAGGATCCTCATTACCATATCTGTGTAAAAGGTGTTAGTCATAATCACTACATTTCCCCCCTTATCTGCTGGTTTCAAAACGATATCTTTGTTTTGCTGTAGGATTTTTAAAGCTTTTCTTTGTTCATATGTTAGATTATCATTTTTCACTCTATGTGATAGGTTTTCAGTGATATCTTCACTAACCCTTTTTACAAAGTTCCAGACATTTATGTTTTGTGATAGTGGGGGAAATGTAGTAGATTTTGGTTTAAAATGAGGGGCTTTGGAGGATCTATGTCTATCGTCAAGTATATCATCCTCATCTTCAGAGATATGTCCATCTGCCCAGACCTGAAGGTCTCTCAGAGCCTGGTAGCCTCTCCTAGAAAAGTCTTTCCAGTCCTTTATGATAGCACCCAAAGGTCGATTACTTTTGTCATGAATTTGCTTTAGCATTAATTTACGGGCAAAGAGGTTGATATCTTTAATAATGTCAAATTTATCTGGAGGTGTTTCAGGGCAAAAAGTCAAACCCTTTGATATTAAGTCTAATTGATCCTTTGAGAAAGAAAAAGTAGTTAGGTTAATAACTTGTAAGTCCCTTAGTGATGGCGTTTGGTCATATACTGGTCCCACATAGTTTTCTTGGTTAGTGTGTTTGGAGTATTTTCTAGATGTGGAGGTCCCTCCTTTATATTTTTGTCCATGTTGGAATCTATTTTGTGGACAAGGGTTCGAGTTGTAAGAGGATTGTATAAAAAATCTCTATCAAATCCTGTTGCTCCTCCTTCATTCAGTGTGCCACTAGATAAAGTAACCATCTGTCTTTGATCCATTTGCCTGTTTATGTGTCCCCAATTAAATGTAGTATTTGAATTTCTGGGATTTTTTTCCTCTGTATCTGTGTTTTTGGGATCGAGTGTTGTAACCTTGATAGGAGACAACACTTGATTCCTCCGCTGAAGACAGACCTGATTCGGTCCCTTCAGAGAGGGACTCACCTCTGTCTTTCCGTGTCGTTTTATATCGAAAGGGGTGTGGTTTCTTTGTTTCCCATTTTCTACTTTTGTTTAAATGTTCTCATTTATAGGCCCTATCATTAAGAAAGGCATTTTTATCCCTTTCAAATTTGTGTTCTTTCCTTTCTACTAATTCTCTATTGTAAATTTCTATTTGTTGTTCTAGGGTTTTCATAGATGCATCAAAATCAATTGATTGTTTGTAATTTTCTAAGTCCAAAACTAAGGCTTGGATTTCTGTATTAGTTTGTTTTAGTTCCCCTTCATAGTGTTCGATCAGCATTGTCAGCATATTTTTACTACAGATATTGAAGTTGTACTCCCATTTCTTTTTGAATTAATCTGAGATGTCCTTTATATTGGGGAAGACCTGTAATCTCAAGCCCTGTGGGCATAAATCCTGTTCTATATATTTCTCCAAATATGATTTGTTCCAGAACAGGCGAGATTTATTTTCATAGGTCTTCCTCAATCTAAAAAACACATCCCTGAAACTCCGTTCCTTTGTCTTTTTTTCTTTGTCCTCCCCCACCTCTTTTCTGACCTTGATCATAATTGAGTCCCGTTCCAACATACCCACCTTTATTACATTATACATTGTATATACCGTATAAAACCTTCCTATCCTCATCTTTTCCTTTTTTCAATAAACAAAAACCAATGTTTTTTGAACACATAGTTATAAATGTTTTGCCTAAAGGCAAGGATAGTTTAGATTGACTGTTTCTTGGTTTCAGCAGACGCTCAAGTGATAAAATGTCTAAGCATTTGGAGAAGTGACCAGCAGCCATGGGATTCTGTAGAAACATTTTACCCAGCCAAGTTATTGAAAGGATTTCCAAAGTTACAGCATATACTATCCTGTTTTAACATCAGCATTGTAATAGGATAATAATATAGTTGTTTTTAATAAATATAATATGCCTTTCTATGTATACAGCATACACTGCCACTGGTATATTGGGGAACAATAATGTATTATCAGAAAAATACAACCCGGTTGATAGTTTTTTTTCTTTCTTGTTGTGTCAAACATGGTTCTCTGCTGAAGTCTGAAGGTCAGCATAGGCATCCCAGTCATTAAATCATCCTACTACACTTAGCAATATTTAGTGATGTTCATCTATTGGTACCTTAAATCTGATTGGTTTCTTTAGGCAAACCCACCATGTTTCTTTTTGTTGTTATAAATGAATTTGTTCAGGATATTAGTAATGACCTGCTCAGAAACTTGTTATAAACCACCTGCACATAAATGTTATATATTGCAGTTTACCAATCCTTAAAAGTAGCGGCTGACACGGGTAATGGTCAGCTTTTATGCATTAATGTTAAAAATCTTTTTCCCAATAGGGAAAAAATAGAACAATTTTTGTAACTGTTTAGAAAGTGATATCTGGAGTTCAGATTTCATTTGTTGGTCAAGTCCATCTAAATCTACTAGAGTATCTAACAATACCCTCTCCACAGGGTGACAACGCTGCTGTCCAAGGGTGGCTCCATTGTTCCTCCATAGAGTGTAGCCACCCTAAGACAGGAAGTGTATCACTGGCTGGATCACAAGGTGAAAATAAAGGGGAAAAACAAGAAAACGAATGCAGCCACCACATTTAAGGACTGGTAAGCTGTTTTGGGGTTTAGATTCGCTAAAGTCTAAAGAATGCACACTTCTTCATAAAACAAATTGCATTTAATATTTGTTTGCATTGGAGGCAGTGAAGCATTGCAACCAGAATAAGTGGCTTGCGGGTGCAATGCTCTGGCTTGATGCAGATTCTCCCTCCTATCCATGTCTGTACCTTGGCTAAGACATTTAGTAACATGGATGGGAGGAAGAATAATAGGACTACAAATGCAATCACGTCAGTCCTTTTGCTGTGGTGGTTACTGGGACTTGTAGGCATGACAGTTTCAAAATAGAACAGCAGTCTGTGGGGAGAAGAACCCTACGATTGAGGTTGGTTGCGATGTGGCCTTGTCTGAATATGGGTGTAACATGAAACATGGTCAGAAAGCTAAGCTTAGCTTTTAATAAAGGTCAGAGTAGCAGTTGATGAGAAATCAAACAACCAATGCATGGGCTTATTGTAGAAGGTTCTTCTGATTGGCAGTTAACAGTAGTGGTACACACAGACATAAGAATTGCAGCGTAAGCATCACACAGCATGCGTGTCTCATTTTATGAACCTCACAAACAAACGACACAAGAATCTGATTGGTTCCTATGGGTGACACACGTACTGTCTGCTGCTCTAGTTATTATTGTAGTGGAGTATGAATGAACTGTCGGAATGAATCACTTTTGTACTTTGTTCACTAACCCTATTGGTATTCCTGTCCATAGCGCCATGTAATGGATGTACCGATTTTATTTATTTTATTAGATTTATGCCTTTCAGGACTCACTGACATTGCTCGTTTATTTCGCCTTTGTACATTGACTGGCAATTACAATTCTTGATTCGGATCCTATGGCGCGCCAGCGCAGAGCACACCTCGCACAACGTTGTAGCTGTATGACAGACAGAATTAATAAAGCAGACAATGGCTCCCACCTTCTGCATATTGATATCTGTATTACTTATAATTACATCCATATTTACCTTGTTTACATTGGCCAGAAACACCAAGCCCGTCGCCCATAAATCTTTCGGCTTGACAGTATCAGTGCAAATCCGCAGGCTTCTTTGTAGTTTTAAATTCTCTCCCCAGACTCCCAGTAATCCATCTTTGCTCAAAGTTACGTAGCGGCAAGAACCTTTCAAATAAACTACTTTTTGGATGTTTTCCTTGTGAATTAATGGGAGGCTGCGAATATCCCTCCACTGGGGAATTACTGATGATTTCACTCGTTCATCTTTCTCGTAAAGCTCAAGCAGCATGAAGGATGTTAATTTGTCCCAATCAATGAAACCTTCGCGACTCACATCTATCTTATCAAATAAATCGCCGTATTCCTCTTTCAGCCCATGCCCCACGGCTGCGTATGTTCTCTCCATGAATTCCTCTTTGCTCATACATTGTGGCGGCTCTAACTCTGGGGACTGCGGAGGAAACACAGAAATGTGACATTGTTTTCAGAGGTGCCAGGATGCAAAAAAAAACACATTTCCAAAAACAAACAAAGCAATATCACAATATGACTGAACCCACAAAGGGCAGGTGATAGGAGTCACACTGAAATGTTGCCGCTCACACAAACTCCTCCGATCCCTTTCTGACTTTTCAGAAGTTCTGAAACTCTCAAGGAGACAAACTGCAGTCACATTTCTTCTCACTGGCCAGCTCAGGCCTTGTACATACTGGAGATAGTTCCAAAAGTACATAAAAAGGCGTCTATATATAAAACATAAAAATGTATCTGTTTAATTTAGACAAAAAAAATAATATCACAAAAAGTAAATGTTTTTAATGTGTTATGTTTAGAAGAATATGGAAGTGAATTTTTGTTAAAGTGAATCTAGAACAGTGGTGTATCAGGGTATGACACATATGGCACATGCCCTGGTGCCACTTAAAGGGGGAATGCCACTCTGTGGGTCAGCGAAAGTTTACGGACCCATGGAAACAGCTGACTCTTAGCAACCAGGGATGCTTTGGCCGGCGTCCCAACCAGCTGGGCAGGATGCCAGCCACAGTGTCCCTGGTTGCTAAGAGCCGGGTGGGAAGATTTGTGTAAGGGCCGTACACACCTCCCCACCTGGCTGAGGGATGCCAGTTAGAGCGTACCAAGTTGCTAAGGGCTGGGCGGGGAGATGTGTATGGCTATCACGCATTTCCCCACTGAGCTCGCAGCAACGAGGGATGCTCTGGCTGGGAAGGTTACATCAGCAGAGCATTGCTGGGAAATCTCATCTGTAATCTCATGAGATCTCAGGGAAAGGCATTTTCCTCCGCTGAGATGATGCGCATGGTCACATGTCCGAGCCACATGTGCCAGAGTTCCAGGAAGTAAAGGCAGATGGATTTATCTGCCCTTAGTAAAAATGGCCACTGTGATAAGAATGGGAAGAAAAGTAAAAATAAGGTATGCAAAGAACATAAAGCCGGCAATTATCTAGAAATATGTGTTTGTAGATTGTCATTACTAAACATTTCTAAAGGTGCGTTTGTTGTTATTTTGAAGATATTGGTAAAGTTCCTCTTTTACAGGTAAGGCATTTGAATGCATTTTTAAGATTTAACTCCTGAGTTTAGTGCCACTTTAAAGGTCAAGTGCATTACAAATAAAAAAAAATGTTAATTTTTTCTGTTCCTTTAAAAACAAAAGTGCATGCATTCAGTATGTAATGAGTATTTTTTTCTATGTTTATGCTCACAGTGCTTATGGAAATCTTGATATTTGATGTATTTAATCATTGTAAAGATTCACCATTTATGGGTATACCTATTTATAGATCACCCGCACAGCTTCTCTGCAAAGAACTGAATGCTGAAATTAATATTTAACATGTCATGACATGCTTATCTAAGTGAGATTTACTGTACATACTGAGCATCCTCCTATGTGTATAGTTTGACCCACGAATTTGTTAGGGTTATTTCTGCTTTTTTCTATTTAGGCCTCTAAAATGAGTTGCGATTAAAAACAACTGACATGTGAAGCTAAAAATTATTCCCCTCTAATTTTCTACGGAGTGAACGGCTGAAACAGGTAGACCAGTCCTGGCAAATTGAAGAAATACTGCATAATAAATGCAATACATATTTTAACTTCAATCAGACTTAGGCATGTTGTTGGCTTATAAAGCCTCACTTGCATAACAATCAGACCTATTCCTTTGAACCATATCTTCCCACTTAATTGGTATTTTTGCTGTCGGCAATGTAATTATTGTCACCTTAACCATTGAGTGTTATTTGTTAAGTAAATGTCCTCATATATTATAGCCCCCCCGCCATATCATTTCCCTTCCTTGCTTTCCCCTTAAAGTGTATTTCTGCTTTCACAGGCAAAATTGAGAAAACCCCTCTATATGTTTATGTGTTCCTATTCACACAGCATATCTAAAAATATTATTTTTAATTACCTTTTAGCTATCTAAATTCAGTAACAGGAAACTCTGACTGTACCCATAGAAAGACTAAAGACAGACTGAGTTTCCTCTCATTAACATGCAATGCTTCTAGATCTTTAACCCTTTGTTAGCACAGACAGTGTTCAAACCTAATGAGATCTGTCCACACAGTACAGATAGGGTTAATTCTCATAAATATCATACAGCGCCCTCCCCCTTGTCGTCCAGAGGAAAATTTTATAAGAGAAAAACTTTTCTTTGAGAATTGAGCATGTTTTGTATAAGCAGCATTTTATTATTATTATTTTTCTTTTTAAGTTATGCGATGTGAATGAGAAACATGTAACAAATATAAAGTCATTATTATCCCAATTTGGCTGCAAACGTTGAAATACACTTTAAAGAACAACTCCGGGTAAAAATTGTAGTAACCCTTGCAGTGGGGCTACCCCAGCACTGCAAGGCTTAAGTGCTAATTTTGCCTAGGGTAAAAAAACAAAACAAATGGGGTTATTCACAAAGCTGTCAAAGGCAGTCAAGTGAATAATCCAGCCGAAGTGAAGTGGACCGAACAACGTTCAGCTATTCACTTCTGGCTTGTACGGCTGATTTCAGCCATACACCAGCTGCACTTCGGTCAGCTGAAGTGCAGAAGGACTTCAACTCAGCCAATCCAACAACTGGATCAGCTGAGCCAAATATTCGGCAGCTCACTCACTGCCGTTTGCCCCTATTCTCATAGGGACCGACCGGCAGTGAGTGAATAGCTGAATGCCACCGACCGTGATACAGAGCAGAATAGAAAATAGTGAAAATAGTAGGAAAAACAAGGCTAACATTTTTTTTTCCAATGTTAATAAATAGTGAAATTAAAATATAAATATATTTTAAAAAAGAAAAAAATTATAATGGGAAAAAAAATTGGGCGGAGCTGCTCCCCAGGTCATTTGGGGACGCTGATCTGTCATTACAACTGGACAGGGCGAGCCGTGAGCTGTCATTTGCGGGGCTTACGGCCTTCCTCCGGCAGGCTGCTCACCTCTCTTCGCATGTCACTTTGGCTCAGTCGAGCCGAAGCATATGTCTTTGCCTCACCTGAGCCACTCAGCCGCCTTACGCAGCTGCAGGACTATAGTGAATAGCCCATACAGCAGCCCTTCGGTTCGAGTGAACTGAAGGGCTCCGGGAGCCGAAGCCGAAGGATCTACGGCTGGCTCCTTTGGGAATAACCCCCAAAGTTATAGTCACTTGATCCCCCTAGCCAGTCGGCTGTGACAGTGCTTCCTCCAGTCTGTCTCCTCTGCCGTTCCAGTGATGGTATCCGGTCCCTCGGTGGCCTTACGTCCTATACACTGTGTATAGAACATGATGAATCAGAGACCGCTGCAGAGGAGGGGAGAGAGGATGGAAGGACCTAAGGACCTAAGAGCAAGCCAACTCAGAGGGTTGGGTGAGTATAACTTTTTCATTTTTGACCCTAGACAAAAATTAGAAGTTAACTCTTGCAGTGCGGGGATAAACCCATTGTAAGGGTTAATTTTTGTAAAATGTGGTGTTCTGCTTTACAGTAGGCATACGCAGCTCCAATTTCATGTGATTTCTTCTGAATAGGCCGAGATTTGTTGTGCATGTCCTTGTTTGCACCATCCGTCAACATATACTTGGATATAAAAATCAAAGGAAAAACTGTCAGCTGAACACTGACTGAAGCCAATCAGATGCAATCACTGTTCAGGTATTCAGACAGATGCAGGTGTCAGTTGTCTAAATAAAGTAAGCAGTGAGGAATTAGATGGATTTCTCTTTTTGGGCCCCGGAATCTTTGCATGTATGGCATTAGTTTCCAAACCAACTCCCTCCAAGTGTTATTGTTCTAGTTACAGTTTCTCCTGTTTTAGGCCCCGTTCACACCAGATCCATTGGCATCTTTTTTCCAATAGATGTCAACAGAAGGAAATACCCAACAATATGTATGGGTGTGAATGCAGGGATCTCAAGTCTCCCTGATGTTCAGGGAGTCTCCCTCTTTTGGACAGCAGCTCCCTGATGTCTGCAAGAGAGGCATTTTCTCCCTGAAAGGTTTACTCTGAGTAAACCTTTCCGGTAAGATATCAGTGGGTAAGGTTTCAGAGTGAGGCTTGCCTCCTGGAGGAAGGTCATGTGATCTCTAGAGTAGCCTCAGAACGAGGCTTGGCTCTCAGAAGGAAGAAGCTACTTGCTGCACAGAGAGGGCGGACATAGACTACTATTGAGAGCAGGTACAGGCACTGCTGCAGGGTTGAGAGAGTGCTGTTAACCCTTTGTGGATAATATAGAATCAATTATATGTCCTGGTTGTCTAGTTATAGAGAACATTTATTTCATTTGCTGCCCATAGCAACTAGTCAACTGTGTATCAGGGACTTTACTCCTCAGCGTTTTTTTAAAAAAGGTCTCGGGCTGTCTAATAAATTGTGACCTTTACACTGACAGATACTTGAACATCAATTCACAAATCTGATGTATATATAAATA